CGGCCTCTTATTTTGCTATTGGCCTCTTTTTTTTTTTTTTGTGTGCGTGGAGGCAGGCCAGCGTTTTCTTTTTGATGGCCGCAAGCGCGAGGGAAATTTCTAGGCCCCGAGCAGGGCGGAACAAAAAAGGAAGGCGCAGCGCCTGGCCTCCTCTCTCGTCTCTCTTTCATCTCTCTGCTTTGAATTCCAAAAGCAGGCGGTGGAGGCCGGGGCAGGGCAGGAGGCTGAGGCGGCGGCCTTCCAGGCAGCCGAAAAGAACAAGCTGCGCGGCGGCGGCAGCCACGAGCGTCTGCAGCCGTTCCTGGATCCTGAGCGATGGGAGGCGGCTGTCAGCGACACCAGAGAAAACCCTGCTCGCCTGGGTGTCACGCAGACCGCCATGGCCCCTCCCGGCCTCCTCCCCCGGCCATCCTCAGCACCCTGCGAACGCACACACACACACAGGCCTGTCGGCACCACGCGGACGTCCCTTGTCCCTGCCCCCCAGTCATGTCTTGTCCACCTGTCCCCCTTGTCACCTGTCCCCGGGACGCTGTGGCAGCGCGCACGCGGTCTGTCTCCGCGGGGGCCGCTGAGAGCTCTGATCCTGCTCTTTATTTTTTTGTTAGTCTGTAACCAATTTCTCCTTTTTTTTTTTTTGTTTCTTTGCTTTCATTTTTTTGTTTCTTTTTTTTTTCTTTGTTTCTTTTTTTTTTTTTTTTTTTTAATACGACAGAATCGTTTCATCCGTGCGGCTCTGCAGCTGGGTGCGACCCACGGGCCGGTGCACTCGGTTTCTTTTTTCTGCTGCACGTGCACACAGGTTTTGTTGCTTTTTTTAGTGCATATACGGGCTCTCCCATTCTGTGTCTATAAAATTTAAGAATGAAAATTCACAAGCTCTTCTTTTTTTTATTTTTTTTTTCCCTTTATTTTCTTTCGTTCTGAAAGCTGGAGTAATTTTTTTTTTTTTTTAATTTCGGCATATTATGGGGGTGCAGATTTTAAGGTTTCAAGTATGACCCTGCTTGCCCCCGGTTTTTTTTTTTTTTTAGTTTTATTTCTTTTTTTTAAAGTTTTTTTTTTGTATTCTAGCGTATTATGGGGGTACAAGTGTGTAGGTTGCATATATTGCCCGTGTTCCCCCCGTTTTCTCTCTTTCTTTAACAAAATGTGTAACGGCGTGGAAAAGTTTATCTTTTAATTTTTTTTTTTTATTAATTTTTTTACTTTCTTTTAGCGTATTATGGGGTACAATGGTGTAGTTACGTATAATTGCCGTGTTCCCCTTTTTCTCTCTTTCTTTAACAAAATGTGTAACGGCGTGGAAAAGGTTTAATTTATCTTTTAATTTTTCTTTTTTTACTTTTTTTACTTTTCATTTTAGCGTATTATGAGGGTACAAGTGTGTAGGTTACATATATTGCCCATGTTCCCCCTTTTTTTCTCTTTTTATAACGAAATGTGTAAGCGTGTCGGGAGATAAGGTTTAATTTATCTCTTTAATTTTGTTTTTTTTTTTCACTTTCTTTTTTAAATTTTTATTTTAGCATATTATGGGATATAAGTGTGGGTTACGTTATATTGCCCATGCCCCCCCTTTTTCTTTCTTTTTTTTAAGAGAATATGTAACGGTGTGAAAAGGTTTAATTTATCTTTTAATTTTTTTTTTATTTTTTAATTATTTTAGCGTATTATGGGATACAAGTGTTTGGTTACATATATTGCCCATGCCCCCATTTTTCTTTCTTTTTTTTAAGGAAATGAGTAACGGTGTGAAAAAGATTTGATTTATTTTTTAATTTCTTCTTTTTTTTTTTCCTGAGACAGGGCGTCACTCTGTCGCCCGGGCTAGAGTGAGCGCCGTGGCCTCAGCCTCGCTCACAGCAGCCTCCAACTCCTGGCCTCCAGCGAGCCTCCTGCCTCGGCCTCCCTCCCCAGTAGCTGGGACTCCAGGCACGCGCCACCACGCCCGGCTCATTTTATTTTTCTATATATACATTAGTTGGCCAATTAATTTCTTTCTATTTATAGTAGGGATTTGGGTCTCGCTCTTGCTCGGGCTGGCCTCCAACTCCTGACCTCGAGCGATCCTCCTGCCTCGGCCTCCCTCCCGCAGTAGCTGGGACTCCAGGCGTGAGCCACGGCGCCCGGCCGTACTTCTGTGTGTTGTTGACGTTACTCTCCGACCCACCGTACGTCACGAAGACTGAATTGTCACTTCTTAGGACAGGGACGCGTTTGAGCTCGCAAGGCAGATAAGAACAGTGGGAGAGCCAGAGAAATTGTGGGAGAGCCTTCTGCTCTTTCACGCGTCTCCCGCCTTCTGTTCCAGGGCTGAGGATCAAAGAGACCAAGGAGGTTTACGAAGGCGAAGTCACCGAGCTAACCCCGTGCGAGACCGAGAACCCCATGGGGGGCTACGGCAAGACCATCAGCCACGTGATCATCGGCCTCAAGACGGCCAAGGGCACCAAGCAGCTCAAGGTGAGCTTGTCCCCCGGTGGCGCACACCTGTCGTCCCGGCTACTCGGGAGGGAGGCTGAGGCGGGAGGATCGCTGGAGGCCAGGAGTTGGAGGCTGCTGTGAGCGAGGCTGACGCCACGGGCGACAGAGCGAGACTCTGTCTCAAAAAACAAAAAAAAAAGAAAAAAGAAAAGAAACGGAAGACGTATTGTGTTCTCTGACTCGCTGCTCTTTTTGTTTGTTTGCTTGAAGCTGGACCCCAGCATTTTTGAAAGTCTGCAGAAGGAGCGAGTGGAGGCCGGAGACGTGATTTACATCGAGGCCAACAGCGGGGCCGTGAAGGTGAGGCCCGCCGGGCTGGGGCCAAAGCCCTGTCCCCATGTGCCTGCCACCCGGGGACCCAGGTCCAGGCGGGGTGAGGTTGCTTCCGGGAGGCTCGGGGGGAGGGGGGAGGTCGGAGTCTGGCACGATTGAGATGAGAGGCCACCATCCGCCCCTTCGTGCATAATAAAGTTGGCTCAGCCCGGCGCGGGGGCTCCCGCCTGTCATCCCGGCACTCTGGGAGGACGCCGAGGAGGGAGGATCGTACTCGAGGTCGGGAGTTGGAGGCCAGCCTGAGCAAGAGCGAGACCCCGTGTCTACTAAAAACAGAAATTAATTTGGCCAACTAAAAATATATAGAAAAAATGTTGTTCACCTTATTTTTTTCTATTTTTTTTTTAGTAGAGACGGGGTCTCGCTCTTGCTCAGGCTGGCCTCCAACTCCTGGCCTCGAGCGATCCTCCCACCTCGGCCTCCCTCCCGAGTAGCTGGGACGACAGGCGTGAGCCACCGCCCCCGGCTCGTTTTTTCTGTATATATATTAGTTTGGTGAATTAATTTCTTTCTATTTATAGTAGAGACGGGGTCTCGCTCTTGCTCAGGCTGGCCTCCAACTCCTGACCTCGAGCAATCCTCCCGCCTCGGCCTCCCTAAAGTAGCTGGGACTACAGGCGTGCGCCACCACGCCCGGCTCATTTTTTTTACCATATATTTTTATCTGTCCAAGTCATTTCTTTGTATTTATTTTAGTAGACACGGGGTCTCGCTCTTGCTCAGGCTGGCCTCGACCTCCCGACCTCGAGCGATCCTCTCACCTCGGCCTCCCTCCCGAGTAGCTGGGACGACAGGCATGCGCCACCACGCCCGGCTCGTTTTTTCTATATCTATTTTTAGTTGGCCAATTAATTTCTATTTTTAGTCAAGAGGGGGTCTCGCTCTTGCTCAGGCCGGCCTCCAACTCCCGACCTCGAGTATGGTCCTCCCTCCCCGGCCTCCCAGAGCGCCGGGATGACTGACAGGCGTGAGCCCCCGCGCCCGGCCTTTACCCGTCCCCCGAGCGCTTTCCCGTCTGGGTACCGGGCCGGGGAAAAGACCCACCCACCACTCGCGTGTCTCTCTGTCTCTCTGTCTCTCTCTCTCTGTGTCTCTGCAGAGACAGGGCCGGTGCGACACTTACGCCACGGAGTTCGACCTGGAGGCCGAGGAGTACGTGCCTCTGCCCAAGGGCGACGTGCACAAGAAGAAGGAGATCATCCAGGACGTGACCCTCCACGACCTGGACGTGGCCAACGCCCGGCCCCAGGTAGCGCCCGGTCGCCCTGGCGACCTCGGTCCCCCAGTCCCGCCCGGAAGCGCGGGGGGCGAAGGACTGTCCCGATCACGCCGCTGTGTGGGGTCTGCTTCTTTATTTTTTTGAGGCAGAGTCTCCCTGTTCGCCCGGGCCTGGAGGTGAGCGCCGTGCGCGCGCTTCGCTCCACAGCGGCTCTCCGACTTTGAGGCTCAAGCAGCCTCCCGCGTCGGCCTCCCTCCACGAGTGCTGGGAACGCACCAGCATGCGCCAGCCACGCCCGGCCTCATTTTTCTTTTCTAATATTTTTAGTTGCTTTGGGTTCATTTCTTTCTATTTTTTTTTTTTAGTAGAGCGGGGCCTCCCGCTCATTGCTCCAGGCTCGGCCCAACCTCCTGGCTCCAGCGATCCTTCCCCGCCTCAGCCTCATCCCGGCGGGTAGCTCGGAATGTACAGGCGTGAGCCTCCGCGCCCGGCTCAATGTTTTTATTTATCTATGTATTATTTGCCAATTAATTTCTTTCATTTTTTTTTTTTTTTAGTAGAGACGGGGGTCTCGCTCTGCCTCAGGGGTTTTGAACTCCCTGGCTCAATAGATCTCCCTGCCTCAGCCTCGCCTGCCGATAGCTGGACGGACAGGCGTGGCCACGCCACACACGCCCGGCTTTCGTTATTTTTTTCCTATATAGCATTTTTTTTATTTGGCAATTAATTTATTGTAAGTTTTTTAGTAGAGAACGGGGTCTCGCTCCTTGCTCAGGCCTGGCCTCCCAACCTGCCTGACCCGAGCGAGCCTCCCGCCTCAGCCTCCCCCATCAGTCCACCTGAGATTCTTGGTTTGATTCTTAAGCACGTCAACGCGGGGGGGGGACTCAAGGGACCCCTCAAAGTTCCTCTTGCCCAGAAGTCGCCCGGGCCTCCCAGGGGAAGGCTGGTATTGCTCTCAAGACTCCCCGGGACCCCGTAGAGTCGAAGGCTGGCGGCCTGGCGGACGCAGAGGAACCCGAGGTGTAACAAACAGCAGCTCTGTCCCTGTCTGCGAGTCTTGCCTCCCCGCAGGGCGGGCCAGATCCATCCTGTCCATGATGGGGCCAGTGGTGATGAAAGCCAAAGAACAGAGACACGGTAACGAGGCCGGCCAGGCCGGGAGCTCAGGAGGCCGGGCCGGGAGCCCAACGGTCCTGATAAGGTCTGCAAGCTTTCCCGCGGTGCTGAGTCTCCGTCTCGCAGAAATTCCATGTGACCGGGTCCCCCTCTTCTGGTTTTTTTTTTTTTTTTTTTTTTGAGACAGATCTCGCTCTGTCGCCCGGGGGGCTGGAGTGGTGCCGTGGTCGCAAGCCGTCCCCGCTCACAGCAGCCTCGACTGTGAGGCGGTTCAACCGATTCCTCTCCCGCCTCGGCCTCCTCCCGCGAGTACTGGGACGAAGGCGTGCTGCCTCCGCACGCCCGGGCTCGTTTTTTTTCCTAGATAACGTTAGGTTGGGCAATTAATTCTTTCTATTTTTAGTAGAGACCGGGGTCTGCTCTCTTGCCTCAGCTGGTTTTTGAACTTCCCTGACCTCGAGTGATCCTCCCTCCCGCACTGCCTCCGCCAGAGAGTTGGATTGACACGTGAGCACACCGCGCCCCGCCCCTTGTTTTTGTTTCATATTTTTTATTTCTTGTTTTTTTTTTTTTTTCATTTTTTTATATTCCTTTTTTTCTTTCAGTATTTTTTATTTCTTTTTTTTCATCTTTCTTATTTGTTCTTCTTCTTTTTATTCATTTTTTCATTATTTTTATTGTTCTTCTTTTCCTTTTTCATTTCTTTTTTCCTTCTTTTTCATTTCTTTTTTACTTCTTTTTTTCATTCTTTTTTATTTTTTTTTCATTCTTTTTTATTTATTTTCATCTTTTTTTTCTTTTTCTTTTCATTATTTTTTATTTCTTTTTTTTTTTTTGCATTGTTTTTTCTTTCTTTTCTTTTCTTTTTGTTTTGTAATACAAACAAGCCAGCAAGGCAGCAGAGACCGTTTTTTTTGTCATCTTGCGCCCTTTGCCCTTTCATCCGCACGCTTGCCGACCTGCTGGGTGGCTCCTGTCCCCGCTCCCCTCCGCCCGTCACCCCGTCACCCCGGACGGCAGGACGGGAGACCCGGGGCCGCCGCCGGGGCCTCAGAGACAGGGCCGTGCGCCTTGGGGGGACCCTGGCCCCTTTGGGAGCCGTCACACGGGGGACCCTCGTCCCTTTGTCCCACCCGCTGTCCCTTCCTCCCGCCCGGACATCCCCGCCCAACGAACGTTCGCTCCGGTCCCCGCACTCGATTGAGAGTCAATTGACCGAAGCTTTGTCGCTGGGGGGACCCGAGAGAGAGAGAAAGAAAAAAAGGGTCAGGCTGCTGGCCGAGGACCACGGGGGACAGGGCCGTTTGCATGTGAAAACCTCCTTGTGCCGAGGCTCGGGAGCCACCGGCCTCCATCCCAGACCTCAGCCTCTACCCAGAGGCATCCAGGGGTGAGGCCCAGGCCCGGACAGGGGTGACAGGGGTGACGGGGGACAACAAGGACCTGCCGGCGTGGGTGGAACCCGGGCGCACGGGCATGGACGGCCGGCCTTTCTGCAGTCCCAGAATCCCCTGCACCCCCCCCCCGGCCTCTAACTCCTGTCCCCCAGCAGGGCCTCAACCCCCGCCCCGCCCCGGCATCCAGGGTGAACAATGTTTTTGTGGGTTTTTTTGTGTGTGTGAGAGACAGAGTCTCGCTCTGTCGCCAGGGCTGGAGTGAGTGCCGTGGCGTCGGCCTCGCTCACGGCAGCCTCCGACTCCTGGGTTCGAGCGATCCTCCTGCCTCGGCCTCCCTCCCGAGTAGCTGGGACGACAGGCATGCGCCTCCACGCCCGGCTCGTTTTTTTTCTGTATATTTTTAGTTATTCAGCTCAATTCTTTCTATTTTTTTTTTTTAGTAGAGACGGGGTCTCTCTCTTGCTCAGGCTGGCCTCCAACTCCTGACCTCGAGCGATCCTCCAGCCTCGGCCTCCCTCCCGAGGAGCTGGGATGACAGGCGTGCGCCACCACGCCCGGCTCGGTTTTTTTTTCCTACATATATTTTTAGTTGTCCAGCTCATTTCTATTTTTTTATTTTTTAATTAGAGACGGGGTCTCGCTCTTGAGCTCAGGCTGGCCTCCGACTTCTGACCTCGAGCGATCCTCCAGCCTCGGCCTCCCACAGTGCTGGGATGATAGGCGTGAGCCACCGTGCCCAACTAATGTTTTTCTGTATATTTTTAGTTGTCCAATTAGTTTCTCTCTACTTTTTTTTTTTTTTTTATTTGGGCCGGGCGCGGTGGCTCACGCCTGTCATCCC